TTTTCTTTCTCTAACATTCTCCACTCCACACTGCTTTTCGATTTTTCTAGTCCAGGGATTGCCAAATGTTTTCTGTAAAGGGCCAGCTTAGTAACAATCTCCAGCTTTCTGCCAACTCCTCAATTTTTTTTTTTTGGGTATCAGGGATCAAACTCGGGTCCTTGAAGTTGTGGGGCAGGTGGTGGAACCACTGAGCTAAATTCCCATCCCCTAATTCATCAACTTTAAGCAACTGAGTTACAACTTTTCCATTCTGCCATGGTAGTGTGAGAGCAGCTATAGCCATGTAAATGAATGGAAATGCCAATAAAACTTTATTTGCAAAAACAGAAGGTAGGGCAGATTTTGCCAGTGGAGAGCGAGGGGTGAGAGCAAGCCAAATGTACATGCTTCAATCTGCACATAGATCACTGAATGCTCAGTGGGGCGCTGTCTTTTGGGGGATGTGACCTTTGCCAACCAGAGTTGTTCAGGCTCAAGTGATACCAGCGTGTGGATCATGAGGATCTTGGATATAGAGAGATGATCTCAGAAATCCTAGTGTGAAATGCCTGTGCTTTCCTAGATTTATAGATGAGCTTAAATAAAAGAGGATCTGGGTCTCCTCAGGGGAACACAATCCAAATACCCAAGATCTACCCCACACTCTGCTGTGGGAATCCCCACCTTCTTCTCTCAATGAACAGCCACCATGTACAGGTGAAAATCGAGTTTCCGTTCAGAGTAGTCTTGCTTGTTTTCCTTACAAACAAGCTATAGTAATACCTTTAGTTACCCTTTGTCACATGCCTTCTCTGAGCTCAGTGGTATGGCCTCTATATAACCAAGGGCTAACATTTACTGAGCATCTGTTTGTGCCAGCAGAGTGGGAACTGCAATATATGTACATTATTATCTCATGAATTTCTCACCCTACCTCACAGTGCAGCTGCTACTGCTCTCCCTCTTATCTGATAGGGAATGAAGCTCAGAGAGGGGGAGTAATTTGCTCAAGGTCAAGTTTGTTCAAGTTGAGTCTATAGACTCCTTTCATCTTGCACTGTATACTACGCTCTCAGCACCAGCTGTCTGGTCAGGGGAGCTGACCCAGCCTCTTCTGGTCACTTAAATATCCCTGATTCTGTTCACATTTCCTCCAAGAGGAGGCATTCAGGGTTTGGAAGAAATTCTACCTTTGAGTCACTGGGGAGAAGCAGAAAATCTAACTCCAAGCAATAAACTGAGGGCTTTACACGAACATGTCACACTTAATAAAAAGCAAAAGGTGTTGATCTTTTTTCAGCAACATTCTCCCATCATTTTCCATCTTCCTTGTTTGCTAAACATAATTAATTGCTTTAATGCAAACCATCCAGCAAAGATATAACCATGACAAGCATGTGGCTGATGAATCAGCTATTAGAATTTAGCTTAAATTAAAGGTGAATTCTCATGTCTGTTGCTTGAAGCAAATTTAAGCCTTCACTTACAAAGTAAAGGTTTGTTAAAGACTGCCTCAATTCAGCCTCTGCCTGCTTTTTATTGGTAGCATTACTACAGAAATGCCTTATAGCTAGTATCTTATTCATAATTTGTTGGCAAATTAAGTCGCTTGCCACTCTAATATCTAGACGTGGAGGAAGTGTTCAATTCCAAAGAAATTATGCCTTCCTGGCTTACTAGCCAGGCATAATGTTGCTGCCAAATACTGTATGAATAGGTGGAAGATCATATTTCACTTACAGTATATGAATAAACAAAACACCCCCAGGGGGACTGCCAGGTATTTCATGTAATGGATCTCTCCCACCCCACCCTGATTCCTCTCTAGAGTTATTGAGCTTTGGATTTCCTTACAAACAAGACTGTTCAGATTAGAAGCGAGAAAAATGACACTTCTCCTTTTTTTTAATTAAAAATTGGGTTCAGTAAAATATGTAACTCTCTGGTGTGTGCTTCTATTTCATATGCCAGAAACCTGGGCTGTACAGTGGGACAGTTCCCTCTGTAGCTTAGAATTTAGAATTATTGAGGTAGCAATACTGATATTCTACTGAGGAGCCCCATATCTTTAACTCAAATTACTGTGGCAAAATACAAAAAAAATTTGCATTAATCTTTGCACTTATCTTGGAAAATAATTATTTTTATTTGAAAGAGTACTAGACTTGAGGTTCCAATAATGCAGTAGACATTGCTAGTTGCATTTTAACTAAGAGTTTTGCCCTTCCCCAGTGTTTGGCTGAAATGTGGTTTGACTGGGCCCAACTTCCACTTCCAATTTCAGAAATGGGTCCTTCCCATTAGTCAGTCAGTGTAACTCAGTGTTTCTCAACCTTTTATTCATTATTACTCTTGTAAGGAGCCTTTTGAAGTTTGTTTGTTTGCTAGTCATGCCTCTACCAAATTGTAATGCCATAGACACACTTTAGATGTGTTTCTGCATTGTATGTATATCTGTGCTTAGAAGGAGGAAGTTTTTTTGCTACCCCTCCTCCCCAAACAAGTTTTGCTCCTTATGGACCCTATCATTTCCACCCAGAATGCCTCAATTATCCTATGCCTTTTTCCAGTCAGTGTTCAGTACTGGGGTGGGCACAGACCCTACACAGGACTCCCAGGTTGCAAATTGATGCTTTTTGGTGAATATAAGAAACTCTCTTTCTTTCTGGATCCACTGATATGTGGATCCAAGGCCTAGAACTTCTGTGGTTATCTGTTACCACGAGGGAAGAAATCAGCTGAGGATAATGCTAACAGATGAATGAAACAGGGCCAAAAGAATTATGGAGAATAAGAATAGTGCACTGATCAAACCGTCCCTGAAGTTCATTCTACTGTAGAATGTAGGTAAGTTTGAGATGGGTTCCTATTATAATTAAAAAAAAATCCTAGTTAATAGAACAGGTAACATGAGTCGAAGGCTTCCTAAGCTCCAGGGAGTGTGCTAAATATATAACACGTCAATTACTTCACTTCTCAGTCTCTGTGAGAAGTATTCCATTCCCTACTTTTCAAATGATGAAACTGAAGCTTAGTAAGATTGACGGGCATACACAGCAAAGGCTGGATTCACTCACCTGTCTATTTAACTTGGTCTTAAAGTATAAGGCACTTTTTAAAAAACTATCTTTCCATTCTATACAATTTAAGTCACTGCTTTTTGCTCAATATTTGAAAAGCATTTAAAAATTATCTTTCTTTGTAAATGAGTATGGTGCACAATTAGGAATAGTATGGCTCTCCTAAAGCAGAAGATATTGTTTTTAAAAATCTTATTTCTTCACAGACATAGGAAACTTTAAACTTAGAGATCATTTTCCCCTATGCATGACTCAATACTCATAAAAGCCATCATTATTTAGATGTGTTTTCTGATCATGATGAGAGGATACTGGCTCAGTCCCCATCCACTTCACATAAGAGAATAAATATATTTTAATAGCATATTTAGTAACACTTTCAAATTGCAACTGTACTTAAAAATAATTATTGATCAGCCTTATAAAGAACTCAGAGGGTCTTGGGTTTCTGGAACCTTCATATTTGAATTGGCCAGTAGCGGCATTGGAGATAATCCATAAATCCCTTGAATCCTTGGGGAGTGGGACTCAGAGCCTGTTTGACTGGCTACAGTATTTGTGTTCTCTTTTTGAAAGTTTCCCAAATGTTAATAAGAAAAAGCAAAGCCACACAAGGGGCCCTTATGATGTAAACCAAAACTGAACAGGGATTTCCCAAGAGAGAAAAATGCTGAAAGACAGACACACCTCTGGCTCCAAAAGGCCGGAAGAGCTCTCTTGTGACCAGATGGGATCTATCCACAGTTCCCTAATACTCTCAAGCCCCACGTGCTGCTCTGGTTCTCAGCCTGGCTTTTGGATTCCGTTTCAAAATGCCTGACAGCACAGGCATGTTATACAAAGCAGGAGCCCAGGAAGCACAAGTTAAATGTCCCTCACAGTTTAACAAGGGTGACAAGGGGTCACTGAATCTTTAGGCATCTGTGGTTTAACCTTAGGTGGATGCACATTTTCACCTTGCTGATTTCTGGAAGACTGAGACTTGTCAAAACCGAGCGTTTGATCACATACAATAATGATGTATAAATCCAGCCACATTAGGAATGGGGTTGGGAGGGAAGGAGATCCAAGCATTACAATGCTGTTCCACATCGCATGAAAATGTGACCCTATGTTCCCACAAACCCAGGTATAATCTTACTAATTTAACAATGCAGTTTTTTTAAACCTCAAAGATGTTAATCAACATGCAGGACTTTTAATTCTATAAACCAGTGTTTAAAAAATTCCCAGGGAAGCTGCAGTCCCAGAGAGGATGAACTGTCTCCTAGTTGAACAAAGTTGCTGCATTATGTGCCTACAGGATGGGACACAGTGAAGAAATAAAGAGGCTGTGTTGTGTGACAGGGAGTAACTGAGCATTCCATTGCTCAGCCAGGCCATTCTTCCTTTCTTCTGCCTGTCAGCCTCCTCACAAAGTGTTCACAATTCACTGTCCTTCCTTCCAAAAACCAGGAGGCACAGAATCAGCTTTTCCTGGCTCTATCTTGCAAGTTGGGGCTGCCTGATGGAAAGACTGAAATAAAATCAAAAGCAAGAAAAGCAAATCCACTAAGGCGCCCCTCTGACAATAATTGAAGGTGAAAAGCTGCTTCTGAAACGGCCACCCCCATCCCAATGAAATTAAAAAGAAGGAATCATCTGAATGTCAATCTGCACTTCCTGCAGACCCTCTGCTGCAAAACGCCAGACAGTACACCGTGGTGGCACTCTGACAGACGCCTGCCTGCAAAAGCTGAGAGTCACTCCCAAGTGCCCCCCACGCCCGACTGCAAAAATTCACAGGCTTGTCAGGCAGCAGTTACCTAGAGCTGGTGAGCACTGGACTCAAGGACCAAGCAATCTGTTAGGAGTTTCAAAAGAAAGGCTTAGGGAGAGAGAGGGACTATGAAATCATACAGGTGGAGCCGGCTTCCGAGCGCCCGGCTCACGGCTCACCTGGTACACGTCCCGCAGCCCGCACCACGTCCGCAGCACCTGGTGGCACGCCCGTACCCTCTCCGTGTACCATCTCCGCAGCGTGGACACGGTCAGGTTCCACACGAAGCGGCTGCCGCTGAACAGCAGGTCCTCCACCCCGCAAGTGAACACCGAGGCCATGCCGTCTCCTGCCCGCCGAGCCCGGGCGTCCCAGGCTTCCGCAGCTGCAGCCCTGACACTGCGGCCCGTCCGTGGCTCCCGGCGCCGGCTTCTGCTGGGACAGCACGGGGCCAAGCCTGCCACCAAACTCGGCTCTCAGCGTGCGTCCTGGCCAGGCGCAGGCGACATGCCCCAGGATTGGGCGCCCGCCAGCCCACGGCTGCGGCTGGCACACAGAAGCCCAGTGTCCACCCCGCCCGCCAGCCGAGCGAGCCGCGCTAAGCTCCGCCAGGCGAGCCCTGGGCGCCCCCGGGGCGCGGGAAGCCCTGGCCAGCGAGGACTCCCCCTGGCGTTCCCCGAGGGCGCGGGGCGGGAAGGGAAGCCGCGCAACTCTTTGCTGGCAAAGAAGGGAGCTGCATTTCAGCTTACTTGGCTTGCACGTCCTGTGCGCGCGCACACGCATATGAGCGCGCTCGCGCGCGTGTACACACACACACACACACACACACACACGCCCTAAGCAGTCTCTTTAACTGCTTGGGGAGCGCCTTACTCTCCCCAACAAGGTCTTTGCTTTCTTGGCATCTTGCTCTGTCTACACTTAAAAACCCCTCTGAGGAAGTCACACATGCAGAAGGAAAAACAAAAATCCACCAGAGCATCCCTTTGGACCACGCTCCTAAGGGACAGCCCTGAATGTTTCCTTGGTTCTGCTGGAGCCAGGAGATGGAGAGACAAGCTTCAAAGGACCAGTACGTGTGCCTCCAGAACCGCCTTTGCTCCTGACTCTAGGGTCTCCCCGAACATGACAACCTGCTGCTGTTGCCAACGGGAGAGAGCCTTTCCCGCACACTTCCATGCTGCTGACTCCAGTGCAGCTGTCAGTGGAGGAGGAAAACAAGGAGTTTTTGATACCTAGCAAACAGTTTTCTATTATTTGCTGAAAAACAGAAGCCCATGTGAGGATCCTTGGTTTGTTTCTAGAAAATTCAGCCTCCTGACATGTCTAGCCTTAGCTGCCATCCCAAACCTGCATCGAGAGACTTTTCTCCTCTCAAAACTAACACCAACCAACCAACCAAACACATAGAAATCCCTTTTTAAGGTTCTCTCTCAGGAACTGAAATTGTCTAAGGCATTTGGAAAAGGGACCCAGAAGGATCCCACATGCCCCCAGTCTCTAGCTTCCTTTCAAACATTTGTAAAATCCAGTCCCATATAATCCTAGAACACTTCACATAGCAAAAACCCTGCAGCAAATTTTGAGGTGGAGTTTTTTCCTGAATCCATCTACAAGGCAGTGGTCTGGATTTTATGGGTGGTTTCACACTTGGGTTTGTTATCTTTGCTATTATGTGGCAGAAAGTTAAGGTGCCAATGCCTCTCTCCCCAACTAGCCCAGGAGGATTCTGAACAGATAATCAACCAGTAAATCAGCTTTATTTCAGGTTTCAAATATGCCTTTAGAATATTAATTCAGGTGAAATTCAATCACTCAAGAGAGGAAGAACACAATATCTGTTCTCAAAGTGTCTGTTGTTTTCCAAGTGAATCAGAAATCTTAAGGGATGTTTCTTTTACAAATAAAAAAATTGCCTAAGAGTTTTTGTTGGATTAGTTATTAAGACCCAACACCTCACCCAAGATTTGCCAATCTTTCTTTGCAGCAAATCTATTCTCTGTGCGCATTAGCATTCTGACAGTATTTTCCAACACAATGGTTACAGTGTTTACACAGAATCTGAGTACACAAAATTTTACTAAATAAAGAAAATGAACTAAGTATAGTTTGAAAAAGAAATGTCATCATGGTGATCTAAAACAAATGACTTTTAAACATGGCCTACTAGTATAGTAAGAGCCAATGGCGATGGTACATCACCTTTTCTAATGATGAAGTTTGACTGTGTTCTCGGAAATGTCAGGCAGCCAAGGGAATACCAGAATAACACCTCCACAGGTCAATTACTTGTGTCTCATGACACCATCCTCTGAGACAAGGTGTACATAGAAACACCTTAGTAGGTAGCTATCTTTTCATAGGTCTGGTCTCAGTGGTCAATTTCAACTTGATAATTTTCTCTCAAGGTTTCCAAAGTCAGTGCTTGTCCCGTTTTTCAGAAAATAGGTCATGGTGTAAGGGTTCGCAGATGTAGTTACTGGACCAGCAGGCAAACATCATCTGGGGAACTGCCTAGAGATAGAAGTTTTCAGTGCACTCCAGAAAAAGGAACTATGGGGCTAAGACCAATGGTTTGAGTTCTACCCAGCCTTTGGGGGAGTGGATGCTGAACTCATGCTGAAATCGGGGAGCCATGAAGGTAGAGCATCATGTACAGGAACTAACTCTCCTAAGGCAGACACATCTATTTTTTTTTCTTTTTTGTTTTTGGCACTGGGAATTGACCCAAGGCTTAGGCACTCAGCTAGGTCCTGAGCCCTTTTTGAGATGAGGTCTTGCTAAATTGCCCACTCTGAGCTCAAATTTGTAATCCTCCTGGCCCAGCCTCCTTCACTGGGATTATAGGTGAGCACCACCCGACCTGGCTGACACACCAGGTTTCAAATCCCTTCTCCTCAGGATCCTTGGGATCCTGAATACATTTCAACATCTTCACATGTAAAATGGGGATGACATCAGAATCTGCTACTTAGGGTCTGGGGAGGATTAGGTACAATTGAAATATTTAGTATGGTGGCTGACAAAGGTAAGCAGCCAAGGAAAACCAACCACCGTCTCCACCAAAATCAGGAATTGTTTCAATTTTTTTACTCAGATGAAACAGTATAAATAAAGTAGTTTTAATTCAACTGATTATTTAGGTTTGTTTTTCTCTCTCTTTCTGTTTGCCGGGGGTGAAGTTTGGTAGTGACTTGTTTTGGGGGCAGCTCTGTTGCTCTTCTTTAAGTCCCCCAAAGCTTTTTGCAGCTTGATCTTTCCCACCAGCACCAACCCTGACAGTGGACTCCAGGAAGTTGAGTGTGCTCAAAGCTGGCTACCAGACAGAAGAAACCTCTTCCCCTAACATATACGCTGATGTTGTTTCTTTATCCGAATGACTCTCTTCTCCTGTGGAAGCCAGTTTGAAGTTTGAGGAAAAGGAAGGTTTTGGGGGGAAGGAAGTAAATTCCTCCACTCCAGGGACTGAGAGTGGATGGCAGAGAACTCAGATGTGTAGCAGTAGATAAAAGAGTGATCCAAGTCCATCAGGCCTGGACCAGCCAAAGGGACCCCTCGATTGCAGACACACACCTTGAAGGTAAGCTAAAGTCTTCCATGGAAAGAAAGCTAAATCAAGCAAGTTTTAAAACTGTCTTGCTTTTTTTTTTTTTGAAGGAGTCTCCTTCTCCAGCTTCTGTGTTCCCTGCAATACACTGTAATTTCCTGCAGCTCTCTCCTGAGGTCTAGGGAGATGTTTCAGGTGACAGCGTTACTCATATACCTGGGAGTTCAGCTGTGAACATCAAAGAGACATTACCATGATCCCCAAGGCTCCCACAGGTTCTTCTTTAAGCAATCAGCTGGAAAGAGAGAGTAAAATGCCAGGAAGACAGCACAAATTGCCAATCCCTGTCTGAGAGAGACAGGGAGGTGAGAACCTTGCAGTTTCCCATAGTTCCCTCTGCCCATCAGAAACAGTCTACCTGATGTCTGTGGAAATCCCTCTCCTCACCTAAAAAGCCTTTCTTTGGCATGTCTAAAAAAAAAAAAAAATCCCCAGACACAGCCCCCAATCTGGAAAGCTATCACCTTTGCTGGGCCACGCATGGCTACAGGTCTCTCACTGCACATGCAACCAGGCACTGATACTTCCCCCTGGTTTTTCTCTCCCACACTGTACGTACTGTGAGGGACTCATAATGTGATGGGGAGATGGGACTGGCTGGGGTGGCTCCTCCTGGTGAGAAGTATCACATGCCTTGGGAGGGGTTTAGTGACCTAAATGCCAGTCATGCCCCTGATCATCATGACAGCAGCAACAAAGAGCCCCTCTCCAGATATCTGAATGCTGCTAGGCAGAGGCCACTGGTGAAAGCTAGGGAAGGGTCTTATTCATATCTGTTTCCCAAGGGCTGGCACATGACAGGCAATCAGTGAACATTTATTGAACTGAACAATGAATATTTATCTCAGCGGTGAATATAGAAAGTAGTTTTTCTATTCCCAAAATATATACTCTTATTCATTAAAAATTATGTGTTGAGGGGGTGATGTGTGGCTCAGTGGTCGAACACTTGCCTAGCATGTGCAAGGCCCTGGGATCGATCCCCAGTACCCCAAAAAGAAGAGTATGCATTGCCGTATTTGCATTATGCATCAGGCATGGACTTAAGTACTTGGAACATATTGTGACAAAATGGAGATGACTGCTAACAGAGGGGGTCTCAGAGGAACAGGGAGGGGGTGTCAGACATTTAAACAAACAACATGAAGGCACTGCCACAGAGGGTTGTAACAGGGACCTGGAATGTAGCATGGGTTCAGGGGTCAGAGCATGACAATTAGGCTGAGACCTGAAGGCTGAGTAGGGAAAAGCTAGCGATGGGGACATGAGAGCAGTCAAGGCATATGAGGATTAAGGTCCAGTGGCAAGAAGGACCCTACACTTGTGGAAATGAAGGGTAAAGGGCAGAAAAAGGTGCCTGAGTGGTGGGAGACCAGGGAACCCTGGCAGGGGGCAGGTGCAGAGTTCTAGGGGTGCAAAGAAAGGGCTCTAGGTGGGCCAGGGGCATGTCAACATGACAAGGCTGAGAAAGTCCACCTGCTTCAACCATGAGGTTCAACTGGCCAAGTAGAGTTAAGAGCTTAGGAGCTTAGTGGGTGAAGGTGACACTCCTCTGTAGCTGGGCATCAGTGGCTCTGCATGCATGGGCTGTGTCCTCTCCCACTCAACCCCTACTAAGGAGGAGACAGGAGGGCTTGGGGGACCATAAATGCCATATCAGTCCCCCTGGAGCTAGGGGCTAGGTGGTCTTGCTCATTTCCCATCTCCCGCCTCCTCTCCTCTTCCCTGCAGAGCGCCTGCCAATCTTGGCCTCATGCAGGAGAGGGAAAGAAGCCTGGGGACTTAGTGGGTTCCTGAGGTGGCTCCCCCTCCCTGCTGCCTTCATGACTGTGAACAGGTTTTTGGCATCACAAAGGAGTAAAACTACTACCAAGGAAATCATATCCAGCACTAAGGCATCTATTCAGCTTCTGATCTTTGGCAAACTTATTCACTCTTAAGGAACAGAAAAGAAAATGTAGCAAAACCGTCTCATTTTTCCAAA